CAAAGCTGCAGTAATCAAGACAGTATGGTACTGGCAGAGAAACAGAAATATAGATCAATGGAACAGGATAGAAAGCCCAGAGATAAACCCACACACATATGGTCACCTTATCTTTCATAAAGGAGGCAGGAATATACAGTGGAGAAAGGACAGCCTCTTCAATAAGTGGTGCTAGGAAAACTGGACAGGTACATGTAAAAGTATGAGATTAGATCACCTCCTAACACCATACAGAAAAATAAACTGAAAATGGATTAAAGACCTGAATGTAAGGTCAGAAACTATCAAGCTCTTAGAGGAAAACATAGGCAGAACACTCTGACATAGATCACAGCAAGATCCTTTTTGACCCACCTCCCAGAGAAATGGAAATAAAAACAAAAATAAACAAATGGGACCTAATGAAACTTCAAAGCTTTTGCACAGCAAAGGAAACCATAAACAAGACCAAAAGACAACCCTCAGAATGGGAGAAAACATTTGCAAATGAAGCAACTGACAAAGGATTAATCTCCAAAATTTATAAGCAGCTCAATAACAAAAAAACAAACAACCCAATCCAAAAATGGGCAGAAGACCTAAATAGACATTTCTCCAAAGAAGATATACAGAATGCCAACAAACACATGAAAGAATGCTCAACATCATTAATCATTAGAGAAATGCAAATCAAAACTACAATGAGTTATCATCTTACACCAGTCAGAATGGCCATCATCAAAAAATCTACAAACAATAAATGCTGGAGAGGGTGTGGAGAAAAGGGAACACTCTTGCACTGCTGGTGGGAATGTGAATTGGTACAGCCACTATGGAGAACAGTATGGAGGTTCCTTAAAAAACTACAAATAGAACTACCATATGACCCAGCAATCCCACTACTGGGCATATACCCTGAGAAAACCATAATTCAAAAAGAGTCATGTACCACAATGTTCATTGCAGATCTATTTACAATAGCCAGGAGATGGAAACAACCTAAGTGTCCATCATCGGATGAATGGATAAAGAAGATGTGGCACATATATACAATGGAATATTACTCAGCCATAAAAAGAAACGAAATTGAGCTATTTGTAATGAGGTGGATGGACCCAGAGTCTGTCATACAGAGTGAAGTAAGTCAGAAAGAGAAAGACAAATACCGTATGCTAACACATATATATGGAATTTAAGAAAAAAAATATATCATGAAGAGCCTTGAGGTAAGACAGGAATAAAGACACAGACCTACTGGAGAACGGACTTGAGGATATGGGGAGGGGGAAGGGTGAGCTGTGACAGGGCGAGAGAGAGGCATGGACATATATACACTAACAAACGTAAGGTAGATAGCTAGTGGGAAGCAGCCACATGGCACAGGGATATCGGCTTGGTGCTTTGTGACCGCCTGGAGGGGTGGGATAGAGAGGGTGTGAGGGAGGGAGACAGACGCAAGAGGGAAGAGATATGGGAACACGTGTATATGTTTAACTGATTCACTTTGTTATAAAGCAGAAACTAACACACCATTGTAAAGCAATTATACCCCAATAAAGATGTTTAAAAAAAAAAAGACAGGAATAAAGACACAGACCTACTAGAGAACGGACTTGAGGATATGGGGAGGGGAAGGGTAAACTGTGACAAAGCGAGAGAGTGGCACGGACATATATACACTACCAAACTTAAAATAGATAGCTAGGGGGAAGCAGCCGTATAGCACAGGGAGATCAGCTCGGTGCTTTGTGACCACCTAGAGGGGTGGGATAGGGAGGGTGGGAAGGAGGGAGACGCAAGAGGGAAGAGATATGGGAACATGTGTATATGTTTAACTGATTCACTTTGTTATAAAGCAGAAACTAGCACACCACTGTAAAGCAATTATACTCCAATAAAGATGTTAAAAAAAAAAAAGAATTATGCCCAAGGTATTATCCAAGAGATGGGGGAAAAATGAGCAAAACAGCCAAAAAAAAAAAAAAAAAGTAAATAAAACAAGGTTTTGCTAAATTCTATGGAATTTTTGAATAATTTTTTTGAAGAAATATATGACTATGGTCATTCAGTCCAAGAAGTAACATTAGGAACATTAATGTAAAAAGTGTTTCTAGGGGCTTAATTACAGCATTTTACAAATACCAGGTGAGAATTACAGCAAGAAGTCCTAGGGTAACAAATGGGAAGATCATTTAACCCGGGAAAGAACTCCTCATCCAGGTTTTACCACTATGAGGAGCAGGCAAGTCACCTAACTTTTTGGATGTTGATGTCCTCATCTGTAAAATGGAGCCAGGACAATGCACACGTGCTGTGAGGTTAAATGAGATGATGTAAACAGAAGCACTTTGTAAGTGATTAAGCACAAAGGATTACTGTTGTTGAAATTTTCCACAACAGTACAATCCCTAACTTCAGTCAAGGTTTTAAAAGACAGAGAAGTTCTTTGTTAATCGCATAATCTTTTTAATGGGGGAGTTCAAAGTGTCTAATTAAAATTTTATTTTGTGACAATGCTTAAACCTATTCTCTTTCATTCTAAACTCACTGCATGAGGAGAACCACAGCCATCCCACTCAAGTTCCCCCCTGTAGGCTCTGGGGAGACGAGCAAGTGTATCCTGGCATCTAATCACTGCTCCTGTAGGTCACTTCTTGGGAGAAAGGACCACTTAGTATCTGTCCTACCCACTGGAAGGAGGTGAGAATCTCAGAATGAGATGATATCTGGTGATATCTATAATCAAAGCATTGGAGGACAGACACTGGGGGATTATCATTGCTATTTCCATTCCCACTGGAGTGGGTTCAGTCAATGCCTTCCCAGGGCCTTGGGCCCATGTATTGGTCCTTGTTGACCTCTACCTAGGGAATGGAGGCCTCTTTCTAAATCGGTGTCTCCAAAAAAATGTGTGTGTGTGCCTTCAAGGATGTGCAAGGCAATTCACTGAGAGTGAAGAAAGAAAAGATTAAAATTTCTATTTACCTATTTTAAAATCCAGAAATAACAGAATCGAGCTTTTCTAATACTGAGTGCCCAGATGCAGGCACCTCACTCAGCCCATGTATCAGAAGGCCGTGTATAACCAATGGTATGTTTAAGGACTCCGGAGGCGGGGAGGGATGGAGATGGCAGAGTAGGAAGATGTAGAGCTCTCACCTCCTGCCACCAACACATTAAAAATACATCTACATGCAGAACACTTTTCATGGAACGCTAGCTGGAAACTGGCAGAAGAACTATCAACCAAAGTTGCAAGAAAGATTTCCACATGACTGGGTAGGATGGACAAAAAGGCATAGGGTTGGGACCCCTGCCCCTGAGAGGGATCTGAAAGGAAGAGAAGGTCGGTATGGGCGGACCCTTGCCCTGGGGAGCCAGCAGGTTGAGCCACAGACTGGGCATCCCAACGCTAGTGTTGTACATGGAAGGAGACAAGTCCCCTTGGCTGCCGGGAGAACCTCTGGGACAGACAGAAGGGCTGGAGAAGCCTAGACTCTACTCGTGAGGAGTGTGCATGCACTGGCTGGTCAACAATCATGGTGGAGAGAACTCTGTACTGGTGGCTGCCACCTTGCTGCACTCCCCAGTCTGAGCTGGGTGAACACCCCAGCCCTACTCACTCCACACCACCGCTTGGTGTGAGACCTGGGCCAACTGGCCCCCTTGGGGAAAGACTCAGTCTAGCTACACAGAGACACACTGGGGGCCCTGGGTGTGATCCGGTGGGGTGGTGGTCACTGTCAGTGTGTGCTCAGGCGGCCCCACAGAAGCATGCCGCAGTTTGTCTCCCAGCCTAGCAAGAGCGCCCCACCCACTCCACCCTGCAGCTTGGCTCTGGATCTGGGGCAGGCAGGTCCTGGGAGAAAACTGCCACAGAGGCAGCCCATGTTTCTGGTGGCAGCACAACCATCTCAATTCCTGCAGCCACAACACCCGGGTCCCCAGCCTACTCCACGCCACAGCCTTGCACCAGATCGAGGATGAACACGACAGGGGAAAGGACGTAACCCTGCGCTGCGTCCGAGCAGAACCGTGGACGCCTACAAAGGAGATGCACAGGTCCTCTGGACGTGTGGGCCTCACTTGCTTCAGCAATCCCCTCCTTTGGGGCAAGGCTTGGTTACAAAGGACGATAGTGTCTTCCATAAGGCAAGTAACCAAACCAACATCTCTGGGAAACAGCTGTTTTCTCTGCAAAAATCACCCCAAACCTAAACAATTACCTAAATCTTCCCTAAAAAACCTGAGGGGAGAATTTCTCTGAGAAATACGAGTAACTTCCTGGGCTATGAACCACACCTGACGACCTACTCTGCAAAACAGAAAAGAAAAAGTATCAGATGAAGGTTCTTGGGGCCCCAAAGCCAATCCAGGTGATCACCATGCTGCCCCAAACATCCAGCATGAAGAAACACTAGGGGCAGAGGCAGGAGTAACGGTCGCTCTAAAATTTCCGTATCGGAGGGCTTCTCAGTGGCAAGCTGGTGGGGTCAGGATGCATATGTGGGCATTGTGCGTTAAACTGAGACAAACTTGATTATGCACACAGAGGCTCCTTAGGGGGGCTGTCCAAAGCCCCCTAACCTCCCACCTGGGTGCCGCTAAGTGCCCAGAGACAGAACACAGACACTGGTCTAGGAAACTCCAGTCTTTGCTGTCACTGCACAGGCCCCTCATAAAGATTAATGATATCTGCATTAACTTGGACCACGTTTCAATTTCCACTGCCAATCGAAAGCAAAATCAGTCTCTGCCAGCACCTCCAACTTATTACTTGGGTAGGTAAGGATCATTAACGGTGTGAACTGCAGACATGCAACAGTCAGTCCACATTTCCAAAACTGTAAAGAAAAGTAAAGAGCCTCACTATGATCCATGAGTGAGGGCCCCTGGGGAACTGGGCACCAGCCTCTAATTAAAGGAAGTGCTCCAACGCCAGCTCCGGGGGCTACTTCTGGCCCTGGGCACGGACAACAGGCTGAACAGAGGCAGAGGTTCTGCAACCTACGTTTACGCACCTTTCCTCCCCGCCTCGGGTGTCGCGGAAGGCTTTTCCTGCCGGGCGGCAGACGGCGCCGGGGAAGCTGCCTTCCTCTCTGTTTCCACCTCTTCCTCCTCATCCCGCTTCTGGTCCTTCCTCTCCTCAGTCGGCGGGGGTGAGGGCGTCCGGGGGCCCCCGTTGTCCCGGCCCTCCTTGCACGGCTCGCCGGGCTCCGGGTCAGGCTTCCCCGCCCGGCGAGCCAACAGCTCCACCAAGTAAGGCCTGCTCAGCTTGGAGATCGGGGAGGACGGCGGAGTCTGGCCCGCGGGCTTGGGAGCCAGGGCTGGCTTCTGGGCCAAGGGCGTTCTGTTTGCTGCCCTGTCCTGCTCTGGAGCCGGGGGCTGGCTGCTGGCTGCTGGGGGCCCAGGCTGGGCTGCAAGAGGAGAGTGGCTGGGAGGGCTTTCAGCAGGGTCCTTCCAGGGGGCCGGGGCTTGCTTCCTCTCGGTGGGGAGGGACGGGCCATGCTTGAGGGCCGCAGCCTCTGTCTCTCTCTCTCCAGCTGTGCTCCCCGGAGCTGACGGTGCCCCATTGATACTGTCCCCTGTGCTGCTGTGCCTTTTCTTCTTCTTTTGTTCTGTTTGTTGGTCGCAGTGGAAGCGCAAGGAGTAGTTGGTCCTTCTCAATTTTATTCCAAAAGGGGAAGCTTTATCCTCTCCACCTGGCATCACGGGCTCCGGCTTTGCTGCTCCACCTGTGGTCTCGCTGTCCGAAGTGACCACGGGTTCTGCTTGGGCCACTGCTTTCTGTGGAGGGTAAGGAAGGCTTGGAACAAGGAAAGATGGAAGGTCTTTGGCAAATTTGCACCCCTCCGTGGTGTCCGTTGGCTCCTGGTGCGCCCCTGGTTTCTCTGCACCCTTCACGGGCTCTTTAGTATCAGCAGCAGGGAGCTGGGGCCGGGCCTCTTCGCTGGGACCCGGCTGGGATCTTTTTCTAACGCTTTCCAGTTCCGTGTTCTGTTTGGAGGTCTCCCCGCCCCCATCAGAGAATTTCTGCCAGGCGGGCTTAATGGAGAACTTTGCATTTACCGGCGGGGTCCTCCGGAGGTTCCCGCGGGAATCACATCGGCCCCTGGGCGTGTGTTCATCACCCGGCCGAGACTGGTCTCTCTCGCCGCGCTGGTCACTCTCTGCGTTCCTCAGGATTCTGGACCGAATGGAAGCCCATTCAGCGAGCGCGGCCGCGCTGCTTGGAGACTCCTGGGAGGGCCTGGTCTTCCCACTGCCTGCCCGGGGGTCGCCTGGGGCTCGGGGTGGGTTCTCCAGGGCGGGGACATCCACGTGCTTCTTTTCTTCTGACAAGCCCAGGAGAGACTTGCACGCCGTGTCCTTGATCTGGCTCAGGTTGACGGCCGGGCCGCAGAGCTGGGCTCCCGTGACCAGAATGGCCGTGTGTGGGATGCTCAGGGACGAGGGCAGGGCGTGGGAGGCCGGGCTGGCTTTGGGGGCCTTTGGCTCTTGGGGACCAGAGGCGAGCCCCTCATCTTTCATGGGCTTCACGGGGCTCAGATTGACTTTGGGGAAGAGAATTTGTTTCCCTCCGGATGACACCTGGAAAGTGTAGGGTCTGGGCATGGTCTGCCTCTCATCTACCTCCTGCCATCTGAGCTCCTCCACTTTTCTGTCTGTTTCTGGAGCGGCAGCTTCTTTCTTCTCTCCTGGAGCCAACGCCTCTTCCACCTGGGCCTCTTGTTTCTGGGGCAGCTCTGCGTTGGTTTCTTCCCTCTTTTCCCGCCATCCACAAGGTTGATCCCCGGGAACATCCCCCTGCTTTCCGGCCTGCTCGCCTGATGGCTCGGTGGCCTCTTGGCTCTGCTTCACCCGAACACTCGGCTCCTCAGAGTTTTCTCTTGGCTTCTCGGGTGTCGGATGTTCTTGTTCTGCTTTCTCTGCAGTGTCGCTCTGAAGTGGGCTCCTCAGGCCCCGTTTGTGGTCCAGCAGCGGCTGATTCTCCTCTTCCGCTCTCGCTGCTTCCTGAAGCTTCTTTTCCGCTTCCTGCCTCCTCTTCGCCTCCGCGTCCTCCTGCCGTCTCTGCGCCTCCAACTCTTCCTGCCTTCTGAGCTCCTGCATCCGTTTTTCCTCCGCCTCCGCCGCCTCCTCCGCCTCCTCCTCCCGCCGCCTCCGCGCCTCCAGCTCCTGCCGCCTCTCCTCCTCTTCCCGCTGCTGCTTTTCGGCCGCCCGCCGCCCCTGCTCCTCCAGCCTTCTGAGTTCCTCCAATGCTCTCTCCTCCTCTTCCCGCCGCAGCTTCTCGGCCTCCTGCCGGCTCCGCGCCTCCAGCTCCTCCTGCTGCGCGCGTCTCTCCAGGCGCCGCGCCTCTTCCTGCAGGCGCCCCGGCTCCTCGGCTTCCAGGCGCCCCGGCTCCTCGGCTTCCAGGCGCCCTTCTTCGTCTTGCTCCCTCCGCGCTGGGCCTCGGCAGCCTGGCTCTTCCGGACTCTGCGCCTTCTCTTCACGCTGCCTCTTTGCTGCCTCTAGCTGGACTCCTTCCTCCTCTTCCTCCCCTTCCTCCTCCAAGAGCTCCTCCTGCCTTCTTTTCTCCTCCCAAAGCCTCCTCTCCAGGGCCTGGAGCCTCTGCTCTTCCAGGCGTCGCCTCTCTGCCGCTTCGGCCTTTTGCCGTTTGCACTTGGCCTCAAGTTCTTGCCAGTATTCTTCTTGGCGTCGCTTCTCTTCCTCCGAGTCCAGCGCCTCTGGCTCCTCTTCATGCCAGATTGGCTTGTCTTCTCCAGGGTGCCCATTCTGGTCTAGGGACAGCTGATGCGGGAAGCCACCTTGCTCGTTCTGTCGATCCTAACATTGGTAAGGGAAACAGAATTAGCTTTCCTTGTGCACAGGCTACCATTACAATCCTACTCACAATGTGGGTGGCCCTCCTAATCTCAAAAGTAGGGGCAATGTTCCCCTCTCTACGCACAGAGACAGGTAACCTCGGGTATCCCTCACAACCAAGAGTAAACTGGGGGTGGGGAAAAGAATTTCATCTTTGTGTTTCCTCCCTACATGTCATCCTCAAATTCTTTTTTTTTTTAATACACATGAATCATCATAGGAAAACTGGTAGTCCAGCATTAGAAAGGTGAGGAAAAATGAAATTTGTGCTTCGTCAATGTCCCCTGAAACTTGTGACTGAGAAGTCTCCTCTAATCAAACTGAAGAAGCTTTGGCTCAGCCGTGGCACAGGGAAGCGGGCCGCCCGTCTGTTGCAAAGCACACAGTGTCCGGAGCCCCTCGGAAGGCAGCCTCTCTCTCTGAGGTCCACCAGCCACCGGCGGGCAACAAGTCAGAAAGGGTGGTGGAAAGGAAATGGGCCCCTTCACCCTTGTGCCTGAGACACAGCCATCCCCGACAGGGACAGACCGAGTTCCTTCCATAGGCCCCTCACAGCACCATCCTGCTAGGCAACATTAATGCCCAGCCAGCAAGGGTGTCTACCGGGCCATACATACCCCGACAAGTCGCCTGTGCTTCCTTGACACCCTCTGGTTTTTTGGCTTAATGGACAGTTTGTGCTTGGCGGCACTGTTGTCCAGGCGGGCGATGGCCAGGGGGATGGCATCTAGATTGACACTTTCGATGGTGCCGGCAGAGGAGAAGTGCCTTTTTGGCCGAGACGTTTTAACTGGAGCAGCCTACAGTGGAGATTGAAATGTGAAGTCAGTCCGGATCAGAGAACAACCTGCAGGGAATCCCGGCGTGGCGGCACTTGTTGGAGCTTTTTGCACCTCGCCCAGCCCGGCCCAGGAGATGCTGGCACGCGGATGGGGCTCGTGGACACAGTGAAGTGAACGCTGCTTTTATAATCAAAAGACGTTGAGTATTTGTTTTGCCAGTGATAATCTGTTATTAACTTGTAAAGGTCATTTAATCTTTCAGGGACTAATTTTCCTACTCTGAATGGTACGGGGGTTAGATTAGATCAGGGGTCAGTAAGACACAGGCGAGGTGGGCCAGTCCTGCCTGAAGACTGTTTGGCTGAATAAAGTTTTCCTGGTACAGAGCCACACCATTGACCTCGGCTGCCTTTGCGCTGAAAGGAAGAGCAGAACAAAGCAGAGTCTGGTAGTTGCAACTTATGGCCACGAGGCCTAAAATAAGTAGTAGTTTGCTAAGCGCTGGACTAGCTCATCTCTATGCTAAGAACTCTGTAATTCTAAGAGCCTTCTACTGCCACAGACATGGTGTGTACATACCTCAGCTCCTACTTTAGCCTCCTCAAACAGGGAATGTATCTTTCTGGCCTTTGTATCAATCCTCTTTAATGCCCAAGTAGCAAATCTCATTTCGTAAGTGCTCAATAAATATTTGCTAAAAGAATGAAGGAACAATAAAGTATAATAACCTCTCTGCCTAGGGCATAAAATTTCTAATCAGCAAAAATGTTTTAGCACGATCATGCCAAAGTCACCGAGCACTGGTGCACCGGAAGTGAAAAGGAGGAGGCCTGGGTGAGAAGGTGAAGGGCAGAAATGTGCTACACACAGGGGAAAGGCAATTCTGCAAAGGATGAGCCACAGAACTGCTTGCGGCTCTGTAATACAGGTGTGGTCACTTACAAAGCGCAACCTCAGACCAACCGTATACATTTAGTTAGGTCAGAGAGCCCGAGGCTCACAGTCCACGCTGAATCAGATGGTAAGGAGCCATGCCTGTAACTTCAGAGTATTCACAGGCAAGCAGCGAGGCAAGGGCTCCTGGCCACAGCACGCCACCGCGCAGCAGAGGGCGCTCACGGCCCTAACTGCCTTCTCCAGAAGCGGAGATACAGGCTCAGCATGAGCGGAGGCCAGGGTTCCCCTGTTTTAACTGTGTCCGTGCACAGTAAGGGCAGAGTCAATGGGGTTGAGCTGGTGGCTTTGCTTTTTGCAATTATCTTCCATATTTATGCACAAAGATAAAGGAGCCAGCTAGCTCCAAGAGCAAAACGAACGCTCAGTAAATACTAATTTATGACAAGAAGCACGGAAGTAAGGAAAATAATCCCAGCCTTTGGTCTCCTAAGCTTTTATTTATTTATGGTTATCTTTATAATAGGTGTCAAATTCTAAACTACTGTTGAAGAGAGATGAATTAAACATTTATTTCCATCCCCTAATGGATGTGTAAGAGGAGTTAAAGCCAAATGTGATAGACTGAAGACGCAGATAAAGCATTTCAAGCTGAGATTTAATGCCATGTTTCGTCTCTAGTTATTCAAGCTGGGCCTCTTCATCTGGGTGATGGAGCTGTCTTGAGTCATCCCCTTCAGAAGACTCAGGGACATGCCCTGTTCTCACCGTACTGTCTGCCAGACCCCGGGAAGACCCCTGGACCCCTGTGCAGGTGAAAGGTCCTCATGCGAGCGGACTGGCCTCTGTAGAAGTGGCACACGTGATCTCCACAGGGCTCCCTAGGCTCCTGCAGGTAACGTCCCACGTTTCAGTGGAACGTGTGTAAGTTAAAAACCAAAAACACACACAAGTAGAGAAGGTCTTTTGGGGGGCATCTCTAAATAGAAGGAGACTTTTCCTTACACACTCTTTACGTTCAGGTGTTTTTGAATGTTTTTTTCAATGGCCTACCGGTGTCTTAAAATACATGATACACCTAGGAAAACTACCAACACCTGAGACCCCAAACACAGGCGTGGTGGGAGCGTGGCTCTTTTTCAGAGCAGGGTTCAGTTCCAGCAGTTACATCACCATAGAAACAGACGCTCCAACATCTACCACTGGTTGCATTTTGAAGGAATTTAAAGTAATGGACAAAGGTAGCATTTATGAATGGGAAAATGAGGCAGCAGATCGCCCAAAAAAAGGAAGAATGGAAGTTAAAGTAAGGAAGCTGCATACACAAGTTCAAATCATACTACCTTCTCTTCCATCTCACTTCCGGCTCCAGGCAGATTCAGAGGACCCGGAGAACTTGGCGTCTCACTGGACTGGAACAGTAGAGAGAGTGCTCAAGTCAAACGCCAGCACAGGAAGTCCTGGGCAGACAACCAGACAGTGTCTGTGCAGGCAAGGGCCACCCCCTCCTCCACGCAGGGGCGCAGCTGGCTGCAGAGAGCCGGCAGGTTCACGGCGGGGACTCTGCTAATGTCCGGACTCCACCAGGGCTCCCGGGGCACGGTGTGTGCTCCCCTCTCCCCCGAGTTCAACACATCTCCCATCTGGGCGGTCTCCAACCTCAGTCCTTGATGTGTTTCCCCACTGATGAGAGAATCTCAGGTGCTGCCCTGCTGCCACCCTACCTGGGAAGCAGGGCCCCAACTTCAGAGCTCTCGGCTTTGCTGGCTGCCTTCCACCCCATGAAAAGGAAAGAAGGGCCCTTCCAGGGGCACACAGGGGCTGGGCTGAGGAAGTGGATGACCAGAGGAGGCAAGAAAACTTGGAAGGAAGGGAGGAAGGGAGGAGAAGAAAAAGGCTGATGATTCACATCCCAGTCGCCCTGCCTGCCCTGGGTACAAGCACATCACGTCATCTGCACCAGCTATACCTTCTGTCTTGTACCGCCCATATTTACCAAAGGGTCTCATTGGGGGCTGCCCTGGTGGCACAGTGGTTGGGAGTCCGCCTGCCGGTGCAGGGGACGCGGGTTCGTGCCCCGGTCCGGGAAGATCCCACATGCCGCGGAGCGGCTGGGCCCGTGAGCCGTGGCCGCTGAGCCTGCGCGTCCGGAGCTGTGCTCCGCAACGGGAGAGGCCACAACAGTGAGAGGCCCGCGTATCGCAAAAAAAAAAAAAAGGGTCTCATTGTCTCTTACAGAGCCATAACATCAGCTTGCCCTACCTCAGTCCCTTTTCTGTACCACACTTAGAAACACCTTTAGAAAACACAAATCAGATTATCACTGCCCTGCTTAAAACTACTCAGAGGTTTCCTATTACTTTTTGAACAAAATTCACCCCTTCTCCTGTGGTCTACATGATCCAGCCTCTATACTGTGCTCTACCTACCCTTTGCCCTTGTCCCCACTGGCCTGCTTTCTGTTCCTCCTTCAGGACAAGCTCAGTCCCACCTCTGGGCCTCCGTACTTGCTCTCCCTTCTTCCTAAAACACCCTTTATCCCTCCGGTTCTGCTCATGGCTATTCTGACCTCCTTATCTAAAGAAGCAGCCTCTCTCCAACCATATTACTCACTTTTCCATCACCCTGTTTTATTTTCTGTGCAGCATTTTTATTAATCCGAAATTATGATATGTATCTATTTGTTGACTTGTTTGTTGTCTGACTCTCCTCTCATTAGAATGTAAACTACACGGAGGCAGCCCCTTGTCTAATCCGGCCCATCTCTGCGATGCCCACAGCTGGGGGAGCACCTGCTGAACGAATGACCCTCCTTCTCCCCCAGGCCACAGTGCCCTGCACTTATTAGATCTTCAGTAACAGGGAAGACATTTGCTTTGGTCCATAGGAAATCCCTGAATCAAGGCTGATGACCCACGCTGCTGCCCAGCACTCAAGAGGCTGGAGAGAGCATTGTTGGACCAGTGGGAGAGATGGGCCCCATGCCTGCTTCACCACCACCCACAACTGTGGGTGCCAGGAGTCATCAGGGCCAGGGCCAGGGCCAGGCAGAGATGGGCAACAGAGGAGATTGTCCACCTTTTCTTTCCTTCCTTTGCTCTACAAGTCACTTATCTTTTGTTCTACTCTTATGACATATTAGCTGATAACAAGCACAACTTCTTCCAGGGGCATCTTAATAACACCCAATGTCATTTCAGGCACCATGGTAGGCACAGCACAGAGAATACTTTCTTTTAAGCATGGGAAGACTCAGAGCCTCAGCTAGAGAACAGTTTATCTAGCTACTGGTAGGACTGTTCTTCCTTTTCCCGTAAGAGGGCTGAGGGTGTCCCTTCTGCTGCTAGAGGGACTCTCATTTCAGGATATGCTCAGAGTGTTTCTTTCAAAGTGTCAAGAGACCAAATCTAGATAGGACAGTGCTGGACCAGTGTGACTTTCTTTCCACACTAAGTAGACTTCAAGCTGGTCTGTTTGATATGTTCTGTCTTATTGAGCACCTACTTCTTTCCTCATTTCCCTTTAAATTAGTCCAATTCGACAAGTCATCATTCAGTGCTCCTAAGTAAGCAGTAACGATGTCCTGGGGAGACAGAGACACGTAAGATCCAGTTTGTCCTCAAGGAACTCAACGTTTAGAGATGCAGAGAAAATAGTTACGTGGACACAGATGCAGACGGAGTACAGATGTGTAAGAAGCACTAAGGATGCACAGTGAAGGCACAGAGGAGATAGTGCAGCTTGGAGGTGAAGCCAGGCAAGGCTCCCAGAAGAGGTGGGTCAGCCCGGGTCTCCGGGAGTAAGTGGAAGACACTGGGAAGAGCTGGGGCAAGGGGCACGTCTCCCCTGCCTCCCCCTCTTCCAAGCTGGCCCCCCTGCAGATCAAGGCACTGGCCCGGGAAGTGCCCTCCAGCCCTGGGCTACTCATCAGGAAAGCTTCTCCCACCTTATTCCCTACATTGCAGACCCCAGGGTTACTGATGTCCCTGTCCACTGCCCAGTACCCTCCTGGGCTTATTAGCAATCAAGTCATTCCCTGGAGGAGCCTTACTTTGTTCTCGGTGTCTGAGAGGATGATGTCCTGCTGAGTCACAATTTCCATGGGACTGGTCAGGAACGGATCCTCTTCCAAGCGAGCCTCGCCACTGTCTGCCTTCTTCATGGGAATGGCATTGGGTGGTGGCTGCCCAAACTTGATGTTCTTACCCAACTGTCGCTGGAGAGAAACAAAAGAAAGACATTCTGAAGCAGTGAAGCGGTTCACAATACACAATAACCACAGCCAGGTTCCCCATAGCTAGCAGGCACTGAGGCATATTCTGTACACGACTAGTTTCCAGACTAGACACCATGCCAGTAAGCCCTGATGCAGTCCTGTAATAACTGAATCTGTTTCCTGGTATTTCTTTCCCACCTTCGAGCCGTGAGCTTTTTCATCCAGCCACCTCTTTCATGGAGATGCCAACATTTCCAGGGTAGTAGAGAGACCGTATTTCTGATCCAAAATTTGGGCATGACAAAAATTTTTTGATTAACCTATAAGTTTATTTATATAAAAGTCTTTTAAAGGTACAAAAATTGGATAGAAAATAGTTTCATGAAATGCAAAAACCACTGGGGGAAATCAAGACCCTTGTGGTTGCACAAAGAAGGGAACCCTTCAGCCCTTTTGGACATACTCCCCTTGAATATTTATGTTTCATCTACCTTCCTCACCAGCCCCTAGCTTGAACATCCTGTTCGGGTTACAGTGGGTACCACTGCCAAATGGAAGAAGGCCCCAGGGCCCACAAGTCTTTCCATGATTGATGCTGAGTTCACGGAAAAGATGGAAGCAATCTTGTCCTGCCAATAGGACGGCCTCTTCGCCTTGCTGCAGCTACCCACTGTGCCCTACCGGCCAGAAGGAACCAAGTGGGTAAGGGACAGAGAAGGAGGCCAGAGGAAGGGCCAAAGAGGGACTGATCACTGGTGGGAGGGAGCTGAATGGATGGGGAGAAGGAGGGAAAAACAGGGGATAGAAATTAGGAAGATAAATAGTATTCAGAATTAGAGAAAAGCCAGATTAAAAAAAGGAATTTTATTCCCTGAAGAAAAATATATAAACATAATAGTTTTTAATAAGAGGCAAAATATTTAATGGGCTAGATATATTAGATATAAAATATTTAATGGGTAGAGAAAGTGAATGACACTCAGGAAGGAAAAGAGGTAAGCCGTGGTCATCTGAAAGACTACTGTACTGAATCGAACATATTGTACAAACTACTGCCTTTATCTATATCAGGGATTCTCAAGCTCGGCGCTACTGACATTTGAGGCCGGATAATTCTTTGTTGTGGGAGCTGTCCTGTGCACTGTAGGACGTTTAGCATCACCCAAGGACAGCAGATGCTAGTAGCAACCCCTCTTCAACCTGTTTAGACAACCAAAAATGCCTCCGGGCTTTGTCCAATGTCCCCTGGGGGCTAAAGTCGCCTCCGGCTGAGAATTACTGCTCTAGATCTAGGTACTTGGGTTTCACAGTCTTTTGATGCTTCAAGGGGAAAAAAAAAAATAGAGACTACATTATCAGATATTTATCTCTAATGTGGCCAATATTTAATCCCACAAAGCTGCAAAAAGCCTTAGCAATCACATTATCCAACCCCCTCACTTTACAAAAAAAGTCAGAAGTCCAGTGGGGAGAGGTGACTGGCCCAAGCTTATGGAAAGAATGAGTGGCCCCAAAGGGATTTGAATCCATGTCTTCTAAACCACATTCAGTGTTATTTTCATTGCACTCCACTGGTTCTCATAAATTTAATGTCGCACTTCCTTCTTCTTTCAGGGGCAGAAAGAAAGAGAGGATGCAGCATTTTTACTACCTCACTGAAGTTCCCCAGCAGAGGGCTCCCTAGAGGGAAATATGCCCCTTCTCTCTCTGAACTCCAGGTTATCAAATCCACCCACCTTCACTCGGCTCCCCCTCGGCCTTGCATGGTGGATGGTGAGATTTGCAGAGACATGAAAGAGATGAGCCCCAGGCCCCCCTCCCCACATCCCGGGGGGCACGCACCCCAGCATGCCAAGTCAGGAGCACAGAGAGACAAGGACTCGTATTTGATCTGCTGGTATCTCAGCCTGAGCCTGGCTCCCCTGGCACCCCAGGGAGGGAGCACACATCAAAAGCCCGAGTTCAGCCAGTGAAGTACAGCTCGAGCAGCCTAAAAGGGTTTCGGGGAGGAGAAGGCTGAAAAATTGTATCTTCTAAAAACAAGTTTAGCAGGAAGCGGCAGTTAGTATCTACTCTAAGCAGATCAATAAGCAGGCACAGTTAGAACAGCCGATGGCGTCAGACGAGAGGACACAGTGTAACAAAGCCACAGGCCCGTCTCACTTGCTACCCTGTGGGAGAGGGACGCGGACGTGGGCAGAAGTGGCCGGAGGAGTTCCAGCATCCTAGTGACAGCCTGAGCAGGGATTCATTCTGGGACTCCCAGCCCAGCCTTTGGTTGACCAGTTATCCCTTCTCTAGGAGTGCTGGCCGAGAGCTGGAAACTTCCCAGTCACCTTAGACGGAGACCCCCTGCTGTCAGGGTGTGCCATCTACCAATGCTCTTGAATGTCTAAGATGAGGGTATTTCTTCTTGAATGTCTAAGATGAGGGTATGTTCAGAAGAGAGTAGGCTTAATACCCTAAATGCCCTTTAGTTAGGATTTCTGCCACCATCACAGAAAAGAATGAATATGCTGATATTATTCTTCATTAGGGCACTTTTTAGAACACTGACGTTGGTCCACCCTGATGCTTAGGATAAAACAAAAAAAAGAAAGAAAGAAAGAATATGGCCAAATGTAATCCTAGTCTGGATTGAAATAAACTCCAAAGATGGGATGGGTATCATGGCTGCCAATGGAAAATGAAAGAGAAAATGGGAAAAAATAGTAGATGCAATAGGAACGGGTGAAATAAGGTACATGGGACAAAGCTGGGAAATGGAGAGAGTGATATTAAGAAATGAAGTAGAGAGTTAAAGAAAGAGGCAACTTGAGAGGAGGGTGCAGGGGGCAGAGAAGAGGCACAGGGAGAAGCTGCAGCCTTGGTGGTAGGGACAACAGCTGAAGGGAGCGGGGTCGGGGTGGGGAAGGTGGGTGGGAAAGAAGGAAGAGGAAGCGGGAGGGAGGGAGGGAGGGAGGGAGAATGTGCGTGTATACCAGAGGGTTGATTTATGTCACAGATATGGGCATCCTGGCAAAAGAAACACAATGCTGTTGCTTTTGAGAATAACGATGAGCATCTCCATAACACAGCTGGATTTAAAATCCCTCTAGAGAAAACAAGTTCGGGCTGCTGGCTAGGGAGCTTGAGAGGAGGGTGTGGGATGGAGGAGGGGAGGACCCAAGTCATGAAAGAAATAGGGTTTCCCTGGTGGCGCAGTGGTTGAGAGTCCGCCTGCCGAGGCAGGGGACACGGGTTCATGCCCCGGTCCGGGAAGATCCCACATGCCGCGAAGCGGCTGGGCCCGTGAGCCATGGCCGCTGAGCCTGCGCGTCCGGAGCCTGTGCTCCGCAACGGGAGAGGCCACAACAGTGAGGGGGGCCCAAAAAAAAAAAAAGGGTACCGCAAAAAAAAAAAAAGAAATGACGGCCATCGTCTAGGGAGAGGGCTGCAGCCTCTCTGTCCAGACAAAGGGCTGTCTTCACAGACACACCCTGCAGTGGTTGGGAACGAGACAGTGGAACAGGCCAGGCCAGGGCTGAAGGTCCAAGGCCATGGTGAATGAGGCTTGGGCTCTCGAGGCCAAGGCTCTTGCACCTGCCCTGTGGGGTTCCTACTCCAAATGCTTCCTTCAGCTGACTCGAAGGAGACTGGGCTGTTGGACACTTTGTGTGATTTACTGACAACTAAAAGGTGACTGCTGAAACCTATCTGGCAATCTCAGGTGTCGAGTGAATTGAATATGGGGATAAATGTGGCTTTTTGGTGACTTTTATTCTGCCCACCATTCAGGCATTGTCATGGGAAGAACTGTGATATAAGCAATCACTGAAAACCAGTCTGTTGACATGAGCTTGCCCTTAAGTTTTCAGGAAAATAAACTATTACCACTCCCTCCATATATAGATATATATTTTTTACATACTCATGGATCCTTTATATGTACTGAGATAATAGCCAGAGGGGAGAGTGGAACCGCTGTGCCTAAACTGAGTCCATGTTACTTGTGGCTATGAATGGAGTTACTGTTAGACCGGAATGTGAGCTAAAAGGGGTGATATTTTATTCACTCAAATGGGGCCATTTTGCTGTAATATGGAATGTTGGAGAACGATGTTATAGGAATGCACATCCATATTTACGAGGCTTTTCTCCTATGGTGTGGAAATCCCAAGCACAGCATATTCTGCAGCTCTCACACTGCCAGTTTAGATTTCCCCAGACTTTTCACAGCCATCCTTCAGACCACGTCTGTAAGAACAAGGCAGGAGAAGAATAAAGTTGCTGTCCTCTTGAGCGAACTACGTATACTCCCATAGTTAAAATGAATTTAAGAGGACAAGCAAAATCAAAAGCACGCAGATTTAAAGACGTTCGCTCTGTGCAGAAGTGGCTAAGAGCAGCTATTTTTTCTTTGTGTCCTCGACAGCTGCATGAGGTGCCCAAATCCTCAAAGGTAAGACACTTTGGCATTTTTTAAAGTGAAATCCAGCTCAGCAGGAGATAGCAGCTACTGAATATGGAGGTTTTCCCTCCTGATCTAAACAGTCCGTGGACTAATAGACTAAGCATTTTCTGACAAAGATATGGTATAATTCTAAAAAATCACTTGCAGGCTTAGACTGTGATGTTCCTGAGTCTTATCATCGATAGGTGCATACATACTTAACAGCCTGGTTTGATCTGAAATAAACAGCCACCTCCCTATCTGTGCTCTGGGCAGCTGGAGGGAACATCAAGGTCGCTGTGGTCCAAATGCAGTGAAGTGCAAAGCTTACAAAGCCACTCTGTGAACAGTGATTTTGTATAAATGGCAGATTTTAATGGCTGGAGGGGCCCTTCAGATCATCCATCACATGCATCCTCCTATTTTTCAGATAGGGCACATGAAGGTCAGAGAGGTTAAAGGACCTGCTCCGAGGCTGCACAGCTAGGTGGTGGCAGAGGCCTGGCGGGGGCTTTTGATTTCACCCACTGGTCATAGAACAACCGACTGTTATGGATAGGGTCCTCAAAAAGGACCCCGCTGTTGTCTCTGTCCCTGCAACTGTCCTATATATTAAAATCTGTTCTCACTCTGCACATGAATTATTTTTATACTCAGGGGAAAAAAGTAATTTTTCTTTTAAAGGTTCAGCTGCTTGCCACAGAAATTTTGGCAGGCGGTGGATTCACTTTGTTCAGAAAAGATGTTCAGAAAAGAGTAGGCTTATTTACGCTGTATTCAGCCATTCTGTGCTCAGCGTCAGCGGACAGATACTAACCATCACGGGTGCAACATAGGACAGTTCTGGCTGAGATGACTACGTGTGGACACTAGGGGGCAACCTTTCCAAGCGCAGTCATTACAGGCGTGGCTCCGGTTTCCAAGGACTAGGAAGTTTCTCAAGCCAGAGAAAAATGGCATTTTTTTTTTTTTAAATGACATTCCAGTAGAAATCTCATTTCAAAAGAATGTCTTAATAATGGTGGCAAATCAGCTTGCTAGGACATTTACTGTCAAATAGGTGTTAGCCATTAGTTCTCTCCTTTTAAAATAAACATACACACATACACAAAGACAATTTCAGACATAAAAAACATACATGCCTCTGACGTAACTAAACACCCTCATTCCATGCTGGAGTCTACGAGGGGGCGGTCTTTTATGCTGCTTACTAAGCATCAATACCAGCATAACGTTTTTATGGAAAAATGCAAAGCATTCATGCAAGTTAATAAAGTTAACTACTATTTCTACAACTTACCAGGAACATACTGCTTAGTCGACTGAAAAATAAAGCACAGTCTTTTGGGGGTGATACAGTTATATCTTATGTCACTCCAAAAATCACATTTGCTATGATAATGGTCCCCATTTCCCTCTTCGAAGAGCAAAAGTCTCTTATTTTATTGTTTAAAAACATAACTTTAGAGCTGTAAGGAAGCTCGTGACTCCATGCAGCAGAAGCAAAATTAGGCAGACCTTGTATGAGCAGATAATGTCCAAAGGAGAGCACTCAGATTAGACAGCTATTCTGCTTTACTCACATTTCTTCTCCTGTTTTATCAGAATTGGTGCTTCAAGGAAGTTAGTTGTTTTACATTTTATTAGTTATGAGATCAGATTCTTTAAACTTATGGCTTACACCATTAAGACAACCAACTGGCATTCACATATTTCTATTGAGTTTCTGTATATTCAATACTGAGGAATTATCTATTTTTTACAACTCCAAATCCACTTCTTGGAGTGGCAGTGGCAGGTGGTGTGACATTACAAAGCTGATACCATTTAAGACGACAGACTATTATCTAATTTTTAAAGAACTCCTTGAAAGCCCTTGTAAAATACAGTTGTTTTGTAGACTGAAATCTGTAAGTCATTCCCCTTAGAAAGGTAGTATTATGAGGGTTCATTACTTCGTAGCAATAATATTCCAGGAAATAAAAGACTTCAAGAAGGAAAGGTAAGGAGGAAGGGGATCGAGGTTTTCTTTGGCCGTCACACCCTTCCCCCTTCTCCAGCTTATGAAAAGACACAGCTGACTTTTTCTTCTGAGTCTATAAAACGTGTGGCAGTACAACCAGCAAGAACCAGAACGGGGGAGCTAGTTAGGAAAGCTGAAACTTGAAGGAAGTGCCTAGTTTAGTTCTGAGGGCAGGACTATGGCCTTGGGCAGTGGTGTGGTAGGTACAAAGATCTAGGCAAGTTTGGGTGTGGTTTCAGGGTGTTGGCTATTTCCCACCTCACCATATGCTATATTCAGCTGAGTGTGTGGAATATGTAACCAAACAGAGATCACAAAATACATAGCTAATAATCAGTAGAAACAAGAATATTTCAAGAAAATAGAAAAATTTGAGTGTCAGTAGCTATTCAAGCCAGCTGTCCCCTTTATTTTTTATGTTTTCGCTGGTTCATTCACTCGTTCATTTATTGGTTCATTCGTTGTTGTAGACTTAGATGGAAACCAGCAGACCAGAGCCCCCTGTTCATCGTCTGCACTGCCTCCCATCACCCTCAGCTCAGAGAAGTGCTTGCTTAGGCACTTCCGTCGGGCGAGTGAATTCTACTGAGCACTCGGGCAAACTTACTTGGTCAGATCCCAGGGGTCTTTGCTCCCCTTCCTTTTTCTGGATTTCCCATTATTTCAATCTCATTTAGTGAAAAATTATTTTATTATATTTTCATTCTTAAGGAGTTACCATCTGAGTCAATTTTATGTAGGAAAACTGCCCAACTCTGCAGTGTGAACAGGAGCGAAGCTGAAGAGCTTCACAGCACCCCTCTGAGACAGGGTGGCTCAGGGCAGCCAGATTTACAAACACAACAGAATAATAAAGAGTCTCACCATTCACTGTCCAAGTATGGAGACTTGGAAAGGGAACACTTGCTGTGCATACCCTCAGCTGACAGTCAACCCTGTGCTCAGGGGTTATGGCCAACACTTAATGGTTAGGAGCTCTTTCCTCTCACCCAAGTTCTGCAGCCTCTCTAGGGTACTTGTCCTCATTAAGTCCAGTTAAAAATGAGGGAACAACTTGAGAGAAAAAGGAGAGGGGGTGTTATGTAGGTGGGTACAACGGTGATAGTGAACCTCTCACAGGTAGACAGAGGCTTCCAGAAAACTGAGCGAGGTTTGAGAAAGCAAACATTCTCCCCAGGAGCTACCCCCTGGACCTCCCAATCCACTACTCAAGGCCAAGTTAGGAACTTACCCCACTTCCCTCCATAGCCGGGCCCCTTCCCTATGGCTCTGACCTTCCAATCTCAAGCTGTCTTACCTGAAGAGTTTTGACTTTGCCCAGGATGTTGTCCTGTGACATTGCTTGAACTGTCTGCTCACTTTCTGCTCCCCCATCAGGGATAAAAATACTGTCATGGGAAAACGCCCGGGTTCCCACAGAATAGTTGAAGGACCTGGAATGCAAATCATGTGCTCCATTTTATTAGGGTGATAAGATTCCTTTTGGCAATTCAATTTCCTTTTCTTCCTGATTTAGGGGACTCCACCCACATCCCCTGTCTCATTCAGAAAGCACTTCCAGCATGGTGTCCTTTTCTGTGAGAGGTCAGCCAAGTAGCTGGGTAGACAGAAGGGTCCCACTGGAATAAGGGAGCATGTCTCCAACACAACAATGTTTCAGAGCCACTCAGTGGGAGAACTCAGACTGCTACTTGTTTGTAGAGAACCCAGGACAGAAGGCACTGCAGAAATGTTAACTGTAGGGGCCTTTCTCCTGATGAGCTGTCACTACCAGTTTTAGCCCAGTAAAGTCTTGTCAACAAGTAGTTTTTAAGTAACACGCAGATCTAGAAGTAAGAGGCAAGAGTTTCTTTCTTTCAGATTGCAATCAAATTGGAAGAAAGATATATACATCTAAAACAAAGACTTGAGGAGGGCTGGAATTGCTATAGGGACTACAGGAATAAAGAGTCTCTCTGTCGAGACTCTAGGAATTCAGAGAAGAGGAGGGGAAATGTGTGTTAAGGAGATTCTAATGGGTGTCATGCATTGGGCAGCTTATAGGTGGTAGGTACCCAACAATAAACACTTTTCAGTTGAAAGGTTGGACTTCAAGGAAATCTGGACTTCTGACTGTGAGGTATAGGCCAGGTGAACTGCAGCAAGAGGAAGCAGCAGGCACCAACTGTTCCTTACTTGATCTTGGAAATTAAGTTACGTCTGGGAAGGAACACACAGGGGCAGAATCACACACTCCCCATAAGGCAAGGCAGGCACATTTCCATGATGCCAGGCACACAGGCAGCTCTCTCAGGGGTGAGAGAGCCCCACTTCTCCCTCTCCCCTCCCCAGAAAGGGGTTCCACCTGGAGGTTTTATCAGTGACCTAGGGCAAGAAAGAAGAGGCAGTACTGGGGGAAATGGGCCGCCAGCTGTACCTCTGAACTGAATTACAGAAATGCAGCAGGCAGGTTCCCGACCAAGTTTAGACCTACTTGGAAAGACTGAGTACCAAATTTTTTCATCAAATTTGCCAAATTATGAGCAGCAAGGTAACAAAGCATATGAGGTTTAGAAACAGAAGACTTGGATGTGAGCCTCCTGGCTGTGTGATATTCGGCAATAGTAATATATATATATTTTAAAATTTATTTATTTATTTTTGGCTGTGTTGGGTCTCCGTTGCTGCGCACGGGCTTTCTCTAGTTGCAGTGAGCGGGGGCTACTCTTCATTGTGGTGCGCGGGCTTCTCATTGCAGTGGCTTCTCTTGTTGCAGAGCATGGGCTCTAGGTGCGCGGGCTTCCGTAGTTGTGGCACGTGGGCTTCAGTAGTTGTGGCTCACAGGCTCTAGAGCACAGGCTCAGTAGTTGTGGCGCACAGGCTTAGCTGCTCCGCGGCATGTGGAATCTTCCTAGACCAGGGATCGAACCCGTGTCCCCCTGCATTGGCAGGTGGATTCTTAACCACTGCACCGCCAGGGAAGCCCCCGGCAATAATAATAATAACCACCAATCCCTACTTTGATGAAAACACTGTGCTGAGAGTTTTACTTTCATTATCTCATCACCAATATTTTGTGGCAAATAAAACTCAGGGAGTAAATAACCTTATTTAAAGTCCCCTAAATAGAAGTTGTAGCATAAGAAACAATTCAGATCTGCTGAATACAATCCCAGGCCAGGCAGCTGAAGTGCTTTAAAGTGGTGGAAGGTCTCTAGTATTCCTTCCCATAAGTGAGACGGGGTTTGGGCGGATCAGTGGGAGAGGAAGACGGGATGCCAATGCCATGTGGGCTGGAATATGGGAGGGCTGGAGACACTAAATAGCTGGAATAATGGGTAAGCCTTCGGCTAAACAGCACAAGGCACTATATAGCAGCAACCCACTTTGTGAAATATGAGGCATTGTTTTAGGATATGAATATGAATATGAAAAGGAAATTAAATGTACTACTATCTCCCTGTCCTCAGAGACTTTGTGACCTATGCTACAAAATGAACTTCCAAGTTCACCTAAAGATGCTATGAAATAAACTTTCCATTCAAAGTTATGGAATCAAACCTTTTAATATTGTGTCTAAACTTTTTTCTCAGATCCCTGGCTATGATTCAGATGAAAGAAGAGGTAACTGACTTTATTTTCTACACAGTGTTTTTACAAATGGCTTATATACGCACTCAGGCTCTGAAATATTCTTATAAACACATATATGGACAAGTCCACTTTAGATGCTTAATAAATAAAGTTCCCTTCCAGTTTCCAAGTCAATCTTTTGACTGATTCATGAAATTTAACTCTCTGCTCTAATTCTTTTTTCCAGGAAGGCTAAGAACTGACAGTTTCCTGCTCTTCTGTGTTGCCCCAAATATTCCTTGTTGCCAGCCAGGATTTAATGTCCCCACATTCCCCACTTCCAGATGATCTTACTGAAAAATAGAGAAAATGAATAGTAATAGTAGTAGTAGTAGTGATAATTATAATAATAGTGGTAGTCACAGTGGTAATATTAACACTGGCTAAATGTTACTGGGCACTTGCTATGTCCCCTCCATGTGTGCTAACTTCTTTAATATAACACCTAAATCCTTGTGATATATAATATTTAAACCTTATGTGGAAGGCACTATTATTAAGCCTATTTATAGATGAGGAAACTGAGGCTTAAAGACAATGAGTGACTTGCCGTAAATTGAATGACTGTATACGTGTGAACCTGTTTCTGGACTGTGTTCTACGGGTCTATCTGTCTGTTTTTACAGCAGTAATATCACACTGTCTTAGTTACTATAGCTTTTTAATGAGCCTTGATATCTAGCAGTTTATGTTCTCTAGCTTTGTTTTTTTTTTCCAGATGGCTACTCTTGTCTCTGCATTTCTACATAAACTCACTCACACACACGCACACACACACACACACACACAGAGAGACTGTAATACACTCCTAGGATTACTTTTGTGATGGTATTGGATCTATAGATAAACTTTGGGATACCTGACATCTTTACAATAGTCAATCTTTTAATCCATGAACACTGGATATTCCTTCATTTATTAATATTTAGATCCTCTTTACTTATGCTCAATAATGTTTTGTAGTTCTCTGTATAGAGGTCTTTTACATATTTTGATAGATTTATTCCTATGTATTTGATGTTTCTAAATCTACTGTAAATGGTATAGGCTAAAATTTTTATTTTTCTAATTGTTTATTGGCAGAATATTAAAGTGCCACTTGGTTATTGATTATTGATGTTATAACTAGGCTTAGCTAAATTTATTTGTTAATCATAATAATATGACTGTTGATTCTTTCGGATTTTCTATGTATACAATCATGTTATCTATGACAAAAGAGTTTTATTTGTTCATTTTCAATCTCCTTCTCTCCTTCCTCCCTTCCTTCCTTTCTCCCTTCCTTCCATACTGCAATTAGCTAGGATCTTCATATGAACTTAAGTAGGAGTGGTAATGGTGGACTTTGTCATATTCCCAAACTGAGCAAAAAAGTATTCAATATTTTACCTTAAGTTATGATGTTAGCTATACAATTTCTATAGATGCACTTATATTACTGCTTCTTTGAAAAGACAAGCAGTCTGTCTCTTATAGCTGACTTTAAGATTTTTCTTTGTCTTTGGTTTTCTCAGTTTTAGTCTGTTGTGGCTAGGTGTGAATTTCTTCTAATTTATCTAGCTTAGGGTACATAATGCTCCTTAAACCTGTGGCTTGGTGTCTTTCATCAGTTTGGGAAAATTCTCAGCCATTATTTCTTCAAATACTGCTTCTGCCCCATTTTTCTCTATTCCCCCTCTGATTCTCCAGTGTTAGAACTTTTCAACATGAGCCACATATCTTTCATGCTCTTTTCTGTATCTGTTGTTCTTTTTACTCAATATGACTCAGTCTGGATTTTTCTACTGACCTAGCTTTTAGCTCATTAATCCTCTCTTTAGTGGTGTCCAGTCTGTTGTTAAAACTACCTACTGAGTTCTTACTATCAGTAGCATTTTTCAAATCAAGAATTTCCAACCAATGGAAATTCCAACCAATGGATAGCTCGTGGGAAGCAGCCGCATAGCACAGGGAGATCAGCTCCATGCTCTGTGACCACCTAGAGGGGTGGGATAAGGAGGGTGGGAGGGAGACGCAAGAGGGAGGGTATATGGGGATATATGCATATGTATAGCTGATTCACTTTGTGATACAGCAGAAACTAACACACCATTGTAAAGCAATTATACTCCAATAAAGACGTTAAGAAAAAAAAAGAATTTCCATATGATCCTTTTTAATAGATTCTAGTTCTCCAGTGAAATTATCCACCTTGTCAACTATTTTGTTGAATATATTAATCACAATTGTTTAAAAGGCTCTGTTTGAAACTACAATATCTTAGCCCCCTTTGGGTCTATTTCTATTATCTTGTTTTCTCATAGTCTGATTCTTAACTGCCTGGTAATTTTTTAATTGAATTCTGCACATAATGCACAAAAACTGTAGAGGCTGGGTTCTCTCCTTTCAGAGAGGACTTGCTCACTCCTCTAGCAAGCAGCAAAGGAGCAAAAACACCTCAATCCAATCAGAAACCAAGCTGATCTTGGCTGGTTAGCAATCTTTGTCAGGCTCAGACTACCTCTGCTTCATCCCCACTTGTAGGGTACAGGCCTCCTGGAGTCTTAACTAAGAATCCGTGTTATTTCCTAAGGTCCTTCTCCTTGGTGGATTCTCAAACTCCAATTTTTGTCTTTCCAGCACCATAGACTGCCCTGTTTTTCAGCCTGCATTCCTGTGCAGCTGTATCAACAGATTCCTCAAAAGGAAAACTGTTGCCTAGATTTAGGTTCATTCTGGGCTTCTCTTC